GTGTCGTGATGCGAGACACAAAAAGGAAACACATTCCTTCTGTGTTGTCTACTATAGTAGGGTACGACCTACACCATAGACACTATACTAGATTTGGAATTTTCTAAATTATTTCTTTCGCATTTCTTATGATTGTTATGGGTTCTTATGCTTCTATTATCTTGTGTAATTTATTTTTTAACTATGGTTTGAGCTTAAACATTTTTTAAAAAGGGTTTTCTTAGAATTCTAATTTCTTAAACCTTTTTATAACTCTTGTGTTATGATAACCATTTTAAGAGATTTAATTATTTTTGGTTATCATAACATTGTTTCGTGTTTGGTGTTCTGTGTACTTAGTAATGTTGGGTATGACGTTATATGTGGCTAGGGAGATCTAAATATTCGATTGTGCTTTCAGTCCTAGTTTTAGGTTTGAAATGAAGATAGGTCACTTAAGTATCAAAAGGAGGAGAAAAACTTGAAGGGATGTCTCTATGACACATACTATAAAGTGTAGCACGTCCCCTGTGGAGCATAAATGACTACTGAAGTAGGAGGACCTCTCTGTGCCATGCAACATGGCACACAACCCTTTTCTGCAGAATGTAGTTGCGAACAGACAAAAAATAGAATGAGAGAAAAGGGAGAAAACGAAGAGCAAGCAAGAAGCTTTGCTAAGGTTCATATTTCTAAGGTAACTATCTTATACTCCATTCTTTCCTCTCTCTTTCATTTTAATGGAGATTAGAGGTTAGGTTTGAATTGGGATGATGATTTTTGATCCATATAGGTTATGAGTCTGAACTCATTGACTCAAATGAAGTTAATGAGAGTTGTTTGAAGTATTTAAACATAGAGATTTTAGGTTTTGACACTTCTAATTGGTAAATGTCATTAATGTCCAAAAATGGACATTAAATGCAAAATTATAAAGGTGGTTGCGGCATTAATAGCAATATTGGTAGTTAATGAAGTTAAATAATGCTAATGAGAGTTTATAAACCTAATGGATAAGTCCAAAGGTAAAAATTAAGGATGTTGAGTGTTATAAAAGTAAAAGTATAAGAGTGAAAATGAGTGTTTGACATTGTTGATTAAGTTTAGAATTGGTTAATTGTAGATTGAGCATTTGGGCTTTAGATAGGCTTGGGAAATCAAGCTTGGAAGCTAAAATATTAAAGGGCAAATCTTTGAGCTCTTAAAGATTTGAGGTAATCAGGAGAACCCTAACCTAGGTAGTTGTTTATTAATTGCATTATAATATGAAATGTGTGTTTTGACATGTAAAATTGTGATTTGCATATGAGCACACATGTTTTGAACTTGTAATAGTATATTTGCTTAATTTGAAATAAAGATATAAAAGTGATTTTGAAATAAATTACAAATTGCAATATGGTATGGAAATGAGTAGTTGATGATTGTTGTGATAAACTTGACTTGTGAATTAGTATAATGAGATGAAGTTGACTATGTTGAGATTGAGAATGATAGATAATTGCGATATATGTGAAAATGAGATTTGATGCTTACTCAGGTAGTGCATGATCGTGAGCCTAATATGTTGATTTCTTAAAATAAAATTATATAAAATGAGTGGGCATCATGCATTACATGATCAGTTAGTCAGAGTTCGCCTATGGAGAGGGGTAGTTAAAATCCATATGGTATTTTTCGCTACCTTCTAATGCATGAGGGTGTAGCCTTATACTATAGTTTGTCGAGAAACTAAAACCTAGCTATCTCCGTCAATTTATAAAGAAGGTTAGCCTAGGGTATATGACACCTTAGAGATTTGAGAGTGGGAAAAGTCATGGTCTGAGAGTGGGTCATGTGATCTTTGGCTGGGTCATACCTCACAATTGGTGAACTTAGGTAGTCCAATCACATGGACAGAGCTCTATTCAATATATAGCCCATAATTTCAGTTGGAGAAAATAAGGAGGGTATAAAGATGTTATGATCATGCATATATGATTATATGACATGTCCCATAGTTGTTAAAGTATGGCAAGTCATGTTAATATATCGAGTCATTGTCATATATCTGTATGTCTTGTGGCAATGTATCTTGTGATTGAAATGAAAATAACTGAATTGAGAAATGATAATTTGTGCTTTATGTGTTAATGCGTGATTTAAAAAAATCAATTTTAAACTCATGTTTATTCAATTAATATACAACTGTATAGGATAGATGTAACACACTAAATTTTTTTTAAAATAATTTAACTCAACCATAGTTGGGTTACAGCCACCCAACATATTTTTTATATCAATAATTTCAATATAAAATATTTTATAATTGGCTTCAACTCACACAATATAACATTTCAGATAAATTTTTACCTCTCACATGCCATTAGGCTAAATCACATTGGTCCATCCTTATACTCCCAACAAGTAAACTAAATCACATTTGTCCATCCTTATACTCCCAACAAGTAAAATAAGCAATTTAGTCAATTTTCAACACAAGTCAGTTATTTGGCCTTATAATCATGCCATTTTAACCAATTCAGAGTAAACCAAATATTAAAATTACAGTCACCCAAAGTATACCAAAAATAGAAATAGTTTGAAAGGCATGATTACATTTATATATTCATATAATTGTCAATAAACAAAAAGCCCTAATATTGGCAATATAACACATTATAAATCATAAATCAAATACCCAAAAGAGACAGTGGACCTATGCCACTAAGCCTCTGGGACTCCTCCACGTGTCACTCGTGGCTCTTCTCCTGAAAATTGTTAACCACATAATGAGACTTAAAAGTCCCAGTAACCAAAGCCAATTTATGATAGTGTATACAAACAGTTAAGTGTGTGCTTATTAAGTGAGAATTAAAAATAATATAATTCTAACAAATATAAGAAATATTACAATACACACAAACAACCATCCTTATATCCCCCCATTAACCTCGAACCGTAATCCTCACTCGGTGCTAAATTACCCGGCCAAAGGTAGATTAGCCCGAGCCCTTACAAGTCACCTATTGAGCTCCAATAGGGGCGTATCACGTGGCACATAAACACAACAACAATAGCAAGTCTCCCAACATCTCCCACAATAATCAAACAAATTCATAATAATATTGCACAATATACAATATTATAAAAATTTATAATTTTCTCAATAATCACCCAATTAACATGAAGTAACACTAATCACAAATTAAAAGTATAGTTACCTCGTGGTTTTTTCAATAAATTATTCCTTACAAATTTCTCTCCCACCACAATCTTCACTAATAATACAATCTACAAATAACATATTATTTATAAATATTAGTTTCAATTTTTGAAACTAATAAAATAATTCTAATAATAGAATTAAAAATATCATAATTCCTAATCTCAATCTTAATACAAATCTAGAGTCAATACTATTAAGTAAAATTTTTAACTCCTCTCTTAGTCATCAATAAATATTAATAATTTAAAAATCAACTTCTAAACTAATTTCTATTATTAAAATTTTTTTTATTTTATAAATTCGCACCTAAAATACCCAAAAATTAAAAATTGAGTCTCTAGCTTAGAATCATAATCCTATAGCCATAATAATTCATTTCTCATCCCAAATAATCATCTAAACCTCAATAAATCAACATATATTTTCAGATCTAGTTTAGAATTTGATCCATAAGCCACAAATTCAAAGATCATCAATAAATTTATACTCTAGAACATTTATTATACTATTAACAACCTCATAAATCATATTTATTCAACATAGATTCATCCCTCTTCCAGATCCTAAATTTTCTACCACCACAAAAATCAGAAACCAAAGAGGAAGGATGATTAAGAAAATTTTTTAAAACACTTACTTAGTCTTGAAAAACTTGAAATCACACCCTAAATATCTTATTAAAAACTCAGATCTCCCGCACCGGCGACTCACGCTCACTCTGCCTCAGCTCACGCACGAAGGAAAGAATGAAAAAACAAAGAAAACAGGTGAGTTTTTATAAAAATTCAGTGGGTCTCACATTTTTTTTATTATTTCTTCTTTCCTCTCTCTCCCTTTTTTTATTATTATTATATACATAATCATTGCACCGAAAGCCGCTCACGTTTTCTTCTTTCTTTCCTTCCTCTTTCTCATACCTTTTCTTCCTTTTTTTTAATAATAATAATAATTTAATATTTTTTAATTAATTAATTAATTAATTTTTTATTATTTTAATTTAGAATTATATCCTAAGTTAGATTTAATAATCATCTCCTACTAATTTGTTTACCTCTAAATATTTTTTAAAATTTCTATTAACCTAAATTAATTATTAAAATTTAAATTGGGATGTTACAATTCTCCCCTCCTTTTAAAAATTTTGTCCTCAAAATTTGAAGTTAATAACTATTAACTACTTACTTAATCAAAAAGATGAGGATAATCACGTCGCATATTGTCCTTGGTCTCCCACGTAGCATCACCTAAAGTCGTGCCCTTCCAAATTACTTTAACTAATCTAATGGTCTTGTTTCTTAATTGCTTGTCCTTGTAATCCACAATCTCTTCTGGTTCAGCTTTGAAGGTCAAATTCTCCCTGAGTTCAATCTCCTCGGGTTCAATTATATGGGAAGGATTTGGTTGATACTTCTTCAGTTGCGACATATGGAATACATTGTGTATACCAGCAATTTGGGGTGGTAATGCTACTTGGTACACTACTGGTCCAACTCGTTTTAAGATCTCAAAAGGCCCCTAAACCTTGGTGTCAACTTCTTAGCCTTAATAGCTCTTCCAACACTAGTTACCGGAGAGATTTTCAAAAATACATGGTCACCTACTTCAAACTCAAGCGGTCTTCTCCTATTATCTGCATAACTCTTTTGTCTACTTTGAGCTGTGAGTAATTTTTGCTTGATTAAAGCAATCTTTTGGGTAGTCTCATCAACAATGTCCGGCCCATACAATGCCTTATAAGGTGCTATCTGAATGCTAGCATGAAAACTATTATTGTAGGCAAATTCAGCTAATGGCAAGTGACTATCCCAATTACCTTTAAGCTCAATGGCACAAGCCCTCAACATATCTTCAAGAGTCTGTATGGTTCGTTCTGTCTGACCATCGGTATGGGGGTGGTAAGCGATGCTAAAACTCAAACGAGTACCCATGGCTTCCTGTAATGACTTCCAAAAGTTTAATGTGAACCTCAAATCACGATCAGATACAATATTTATCGGCACTCCATGCAATCTCACCACTTCTCTTATGCAGATTTTAGTTAATTTTTTAAGAGAATACGTGATATTGGTAGCAAGAAAATGAGCTGATTTGGTGAGTCGATCTACGATTACCCATATAGTATCATGACCAGAAGATGTTCTAGGAAATCCTGTAATGAAGTCCATAGAAATGCTGTCCCATTTTCACTTTGGAATATCAAGAGACTGTAGCATTCCAACTGGTTTTTGATGCTCAATTTTGACTTTCTGACAAGTCAAACAACGAGTTACATGTTCAGTTACATCTCTCTTCATCCTTGGCCACCACCAACCACGTCTTAAGTCATGATACATTTTAGTTGCTCCTGGGTGAATGGTATATCTACTCTGATGAGCCTCCTCAAGTAGGATATTTTCCAATCGAGCATCATTAGGCACACACACTCTACCTTTATATCTTACGACATCATCATCGGTCACATCAAAATGTTCAGCCTTTCCAGCCCCAATCTTTACCCTAATCTTATTTAAATGATCTTCCTTCTGTTGCGCAATTTTAATTTCTTCCTAAAAATTATCCTCAAATTCAGTAATGTATAGAGCAGCCAAATAATTCTCGACTACTTCTACATTTACTGCATGGAAACTACTCCATAATTCATATTCTCTGACCATCATGTGAGCAGTATGTACAAGTTTCCTGCTCAGAGTGTCGGCGACTACGTTAGCTTTCCCTGGATGATACTTCAACTCAAAGTCATAATCCTTCAAAAACTCAATCCATCTATGCTGTCTCATGTTGAGTTCCTTTTGATCAAACAAATATTTTAAACTTTTATGATCACTGAAGACTTCAAAGGAAGAACCATAAAGATAGTGCCTCCAAATCTTCAAGGCAAACACCACAGCAGCAAGCTCCAAGTCATAAGTAGGGTAATTTCCTTATGAGGCCTCAACTATTGAGAGGCATAAGCTACTACTCGATCCTCCTGCATCAATACACAACCTAAACCTTTCTTAGAAGCATCAGTATACAAGGTATAAGGAGTAGTTGGAACAGGTAAGGTGAGCACCGGTGTAGTGGTCAACCTCTTTTTTAGCTCCTGGAAGGCAACTTCACATTCGTTCGTCTAAATAAATAGAGCATTTTTCCTGGTCAACTTAGTCAAGGGCATTGTAATTTGTGAAAAACCCTTAATGAAGCGACGATAGTAGTCTGCAAGACCTAAGAAACTCCTAATTTCTGTCACACTTTGAGGTTGTTCCCATTTCATCACTACATCTATCTTACTAGGGTCCACCGCTGCCCCTTCTTCTGAAACAACATGGCCTAAGAATTTAACTTCTTTAAGCCAAAAATCACATTTGCTCAGCTTGGCATAGAGCTTGTGCTCTCTTAATATCTCCAAAATAATTTTAAGATGTCTAGCATGGTCCACCTTATCCTGAGAATAAATAAGTATGTCATCAATAAAGATAACAATAAATTTATCAAGATAAGGCCTGAAGATTCGATTCATATAATCCATGAAGACAACTGGGGCATTTGTTAACCCGAACGGCATCACCAGGAACTCATAGTGCCCATATCTAGTCCTAAAAGCAGTTTTAAGGATATCCTCTGCTCTAACCCTCAGTTAATGATACCCTGATCTTAGATCAATCTTAGAAAATACCGCTGAATTGACTAATTGGTCTAATAAATCATCAATTCGAGGTAAGGGGTACTTGTTCTTGATGGTTACCTTATTCAATTGTCTATAATCAATACACAATCTAAGGCTTCCATCTTTCTTTTTCACAAACAGTACCGGTGACCCCCATGGCGATACATTCGGTCTGATAAACCCCTTCTCTAACAACTCTTCAATTTGTCTCTTCAACTCAGCTAACTCCGATGGAGACATCCTATAGGGTGCCTTAAAAATAGGCCCCGTACTAGGTACGAGCTCAATCGAGAACTCAACCTCTCGTTCTGGAGGCAAACTAATCACTTCAGTAGGAAAGATGTTAGGGAATTCTCTCACTACTAGAATCTGATCTACACCTTCTTCAATCTCTGCCTTGATTGAGAAGAAAACTATAAAAGCTTGACAGCCCTTTTTTTATACATTATTCTACTTGAGCGGCAGACAACAACATAGGACTTTGGGACTCTACAGGGGTTACAGTAAGAGCTGAGAGTGACACACTCTTTTTCTAACAATTAAGTACAGCTCCATTTGCAGACAACCAATCTATCCTCGCAATAATATCAATCCCAGACAAAGACAAACAAATGAGGTCTATGGTGGTCTTTCGACCCACATACTCAACCTCTACATTTAGACATGCCTTAGCAGTCCTTACAGTCAAACCAGCAGGAGTAGAAATCTTCACATCAAAAGGTAAGGTACACACAGGCAATTTACATCTTTTCATACATTCATCAGGCACAAAGGAGTGTGTAGCACCCGAATCAAATAAAGCATAAACATCATTATCAAGGATTCGGATTATACCTCGGATAGCATTAAGATTGTTAGTAGCCTCCGGCCCAGAGAGGGCATACACTCGTGCTGGCACTTTAGGTCTTTGATCATTACCCCTATTCTAATTTTGATAGTAGAATCGAGCAATATGACCAGGCTTCTGGCAGATGTAACAAACCCAACAATCACCAGAATGAAACTTTCCACACTTACTGCATGCTTGATTACTAGCAGCACCAGAAGTAGGAGTAGAGGTTGCTGGGCTTCTATAGGACCCCTGACTCCCACTCTGATTCCCTCTGTAGCTCTGGCCCTTATGGTAGTGGCCCTTCTTCTTTTGATTTCCAAAGCCTCCAAAAACTTGGCTGTTCCTCTTCCCTACTCCACCAATGGGTCTAGGGTGGATAGGGGACTTCCCATGAGATTCTTTCCTCTTCTCTCTATCAGCTTCTAATCTAGCTTCTCTCTTCCTCTGGGAGACTATTCGAAGCTTATTGCACATTTCACTAAATGTTTTGATCTCAAAAGGGGCTAACTGTTCCCTTAGATCAGGCCTCGCCTTCTCTAGCAATCGTTCAGCCATCCACTTTGTATCTTCATGTTTCTGAAGGTAAGTTGAGTATTTAGATAATTCTGAGAATTGTTCAATAAATTTATCCTCATCTAGATCACCCTGGCGGAATGCATGAAACTCAGCCTCCTTTTCTGCTCTCAGTGCAGTAGGAAAATAATTCTCGAACAATATGGCTTTAAAATCTTCCCAAGTAAGAGAGGAATCATCCTTCGGTCCTGATATTTCCCACCACTTCTTAGCACTCTTCTGTAGTAGGAATATTGCCAGTTGCACCTTCTGATTAGAAGTGCACACAACCATATGAAAAATACTCTCCAATTGATCTATCCATTCTTCAACCACCACTGACTTAAGATTTCCATCGAACGTAGGGGGATTAAACTTACGAAAAGTACTCCAGATCTTTGTGATCGTGGATGTTTGTTGCTTAGAGTGGATACTCACATTCTTCGAACTAGTCTCATGGTGAGAATAGGAAGGTGAATCTTCATCTGCAGATTGGCTCACATTGTATAACTTGGTATGGCTTCCTTCTTGTTGGCCATTTCCCTCTCGGTTGGCATTCTCCTTATATTGTCTTAAAGTGGCCAACTCTTCTTCTTGCCTCTTCATGTGGTCATTAAGATTCTGTAGTAGATCCATCATTTGCCTCATGGTTGGCTCACCCTGCCTTGGTTGTGGCTATATGGGCTCGCCCTGCCCCATTTGTTGCTGTGTGGGCTCTGATTATGGCAGTAAAGGTATGTCATTTCCTATTGGCTCTATAGAATCACTAGTAATTTCGCCACCTCTTCTAGTTTTGGACACCATCTCTCCCCTCCTAAAGGATGGAAGTCACATAATTAAGTCAACACTAATCTCAAGACAAGAAAAATAATGGAGAAGCATTATGATTTAATAATGTATATTGCCAATAAACTAGGTTAATGTATAACAATTTCATAATTTATAAGAATTTAAAACATGTAGCTCTGATACCAAGATTTATAACACACCAAAATTTTTTTTTAAATAATTTAACTCAACCATAGTTGGGTTACAACCACCCAACACATTTTTTATATCAATAATTTCAATATAAAATATTTTATAATTGGCTTCAACTCACACAATATAACATTTCAAATAAATTTTTACCTCCCACATGCCATTAGGCTAAATTACATTGGTCCATCCTTATACTCCCAACAAGTAAAATAAGTAATTTAGTCAATTTTCAACACAAGTCAGTTATTTGGCCTTATAATCATGCCATTTTAACCAATTCAGAGTAAACCAAATATTAAAATTACAGTCACCTAAAGTATATCAAAAATAGAAATAGTTTGAAAGGCATGATTACATTTATATATTCATATAATTGTCAATAAATAAAAAGCCCTAATATTGGCAATATAACACATTATAAATCATAAATCAAATACCCAAAAGAGACAGTGGACCTATGCCACTAAGCCTCTGGGACTCCTCCACGTGTCACTCATGGCTCTTCTCCTGAAAATTGTTAACCACATAATGAGACTTAAAAGTCCCAGTAACCAAAGCCAATTTATGATAGTGTATACAAACAGTTAAGTGTGTGCTTATTAAGTGAGAATTAAAAATAATATAATTCTAACAAATATAAGAAATATTACAATACACACAAACAACCATCCTTATATCCCCCCATTAACCTCGAACCGTAATCCTCACTCGGTGCTAAATTACCCAGCCAAAGGTAGATTAGCCCGAGCCCTTACAAGCCACTTATTGAGCTCCAATAGGGGCGTACCACGTGGCACATAAATACAACAACAATAACAAGTCTCCCAACAGCTCCCACAATAATCAAACAAATTCATAATAATATTGCACAATATACAATATTACAAAAATTCATAATTTTCTTAATAATCACCCAA